CATCTACTCCACAAAAGGACAACAAGGGCCTGTGTTTAGGTGAGGTATCCAGCAAAACACCTGGGTCAGCCAGATGGTCAGAAGTATAGGTGTGGGAGAAGGGTCAGCATGCTACTCCAGTGTGAATAGCGGACCCTCTAGGACACTCCGGGCCGCTGGGGTGAGGTGGGGACGAGACCGAGCTCAGGCACGGAATGCCGAATCTGGCAAGCTGCTGGGGTCACCTTTGGGTCGGAGCTTTTTGTAATTGAATCGGGCTTGTTTTTCTGCCCGCCGGGTAGGAAAAAGGTCCCACTTGTCCCAGGGGCCCTTGTCAAGCCACTCAGTGAGCAGAGCAAGGGCGCATCTCGGTGCTCGGCTCTCGATTGCTTGAGCCTGGAGGCGGGCAATACACAAAAAATCTGCGCTCGAGGTGTCACGCCTGGCCCGAACCGGCAGCGACGCGCTCACGGCTGTGGCCCCGGCGCCTGGGGCTGGCGGGAGGCGGCCAGGGCGGCTCGCGCGGGGATGTCGAGGAGCTCGAAGGTGGTGCTGGGCCTCTCGGTGCTGCTTACGGCGGCCACGGTGGCCGGCGTGCACCTGAAGCAGCGGCAGGACCTGCAGGTCGGTGTCACGTGACCGTCTCTTCCGGGGCCCTTGGGCTGCAGCCTAGGGCCTCTGGTGGGCTCTGCCAGCGTGGTCCCCGGCTGCTCCCCACGACTTTGCCCCCTCCTTCTCGCCTCTGGGCTCGGCGGTGGCGCGCCCTGCATCCCCACGCATTCGCGGCCGTGAACCTGAGGTCACCCCGGCCTACGGCTCCCGGCGGCCAAGCAACCCCGAGTCCTGGCTGACCCTCTGCTGGCCAGCGCCCAGGAGCCAGCTCCAAGGGGCCTTTCCCGCGAACGCACGCTCCTGGGTGCTCAGCAGTTCTGTTTTCAGCTCACAGCCAGCCCGCTGCCAAGCGAACCTGTCGCGTCCCGCTTGGGCCGCTAGAAAGTACCAATCAGGGAAGCGCTTTTTTTGCGGGGGTGGGGTGGGGGCTCAGTCTCAAGTTATCCACCTCTCACCACCCCTCGGGCCCCAGGTTGGCGCTGAACCCTAAGGCGGTTGAGTGCTAAAGATTTTATCCGGTGGTAAAGCTGGCTCCTCCTCACCCACCCACTTTCCGTGCCTTTTGGCCAAGGTAATTTGATGAGATGTTTGTAATTTTTGCTTAGGTGAATATTGACTATGGAAAATGTAGACTCTGGGAATGATAAAGATACAGTCCTCCAAATTTTCTTTTTGGTACTTCTATTTCTGGAGATGTCTGTGACTTAACTAATCCATGACTGACCGTCAGTCTCTCTCTCTCAGTTCGTATTTTCTTTCTCAAGTTGGCATATCTTTAGTGATTAATCACTCTCTGCCAGGCATAGCGCTAGGTACTTTGGGAATACAAAGACAAAGAAACAACCGCTCCAAAGTCTGTAAAGAATTTGCAACAGTGCTAAATATTGCAAGCAGTTCATTGTTGAACTTTCAAGTAACACCTTCTCAGGTAGTTGAGTAGAACCTAGTTTGCCAAGGGTAGATGTAATGATCTGAATGATCAAGAGTCAACAGTCTTCTTAATTTACTTGTCCAGGATTTGGACTATGCTATGTGGTTGGTATATGGAGATGAAGCAGATGAGGTCTTTGTCATTGGTGTTCATAACCTGTGGAGACAGGAGAGAAATCTTGTAATGGCACAAGAATTTTGTGATGGGGTTGGGATAACCACTGATGAAAAGGCACAGAAAGATTAGAGATTTGGGATTAAAGTATGTCTATAAGAAGGTAGCTTTTGGAATAGAGGCAGGGTTCTTCCTGTGTTGAAGGAAAAGATGATGGTCCTGAGAAAAATTGAGATGAAGGGGGTGTCTTTCTGCTCTCTGGGTAGGAAAGAGATGAAGAAAAAGATTGCCCTGTTTTTACATCCAGACCTTCACTAGGTACTCTCTAACAATGGGAAAGAATAGAACTAGAAGTACATGGTAGGTGTGTCTGAAAGTTGAAAGAAGCAAGAAGTTAAATAGTGACTACTGTTTCCTGACTGGAGTCTACCACATACCAGACACTCATGTTCAGTACTCATGGGTTACTCTTCCTTCCAGAAACCAAGTATAGATGGTCCCTAACTTACAACTCTTCTACTTAAAATATTTTGACTTTACAATGGTGAGAAAGCAATATGATTTGCACTCAGTAGAAACTGTACTTCAGATTTCAGTATTTTTCCAGGATAATGATTAGGGACTGTAATCCTCTCTTGAGATGTTGGGCAGGTGGAGTAAACCACAGTTCCCAATCAGCTACACAGACATGATTTCAGGTAAGTGGTGCTAAGCTGTAATGTTTGGTAGGTTGGGTGTATGTAACACATTTTCTTTTCTTTCTTTCTTTTCTTTTTTTTTTGGTGGTGCTGGGTATTGAACCCAGGGCCTTGTGCATGCAAAGCAAGCACTCTACCAACTGAGCTATATCCCCAGACCAACACATTTTCAATTTCTGATATTTTCAACTTTAAATGGGCTTATCAGGATATACCTTATCTTAAGTCAAGGAGCATTTGTAGTGCTACATGAGCTAGAGTTCAAGGTATCAGAGTTGAGATAGTGAGGAGGTCTTAGGTGGTAAGAGAGGTTCAATTCACAGGAAGGATGTATGAAGCAGTCACCTGGAGAAAGATAACAAATGATGGAATGGCAAGTAAGATCGGAGCACATGCTGACATCTCTGAAAAAGGAGATGAGGACCTGGGAGGCAGATGTAGAAAGAATGATCTCAACCAATGGTATAGGCTTTGGGAACAGGATGTGTAAATGTAAGGAGGTTGGTGACAGGTAGACCTGCGGTGGGGAAAATGGAGTAAGCACCTGTTGTTGTCTCAGTAGGGATCTTGCCAAGGACACAGGATTTAAGAAAATCTAGTACCAGTTGAGTTATCAGTCCTGGGACTCTTAAATTTCCCAACTCCCTCATAATAGCCAATGAAACTCCAGGCCTGGAAGATGTCCAGCAAGTAGGTACTAGGTGAGTTTTTAAAATGGATGAAATTTTTTTTTTTTTTTTTTTTTTTTACAAACCAAACATACTCAGCCCTAAATTAATTCTATTTTTAAAAACTGCTGTTAAAAATTTATTGGGGGGGGGGGCTGGGGATGTGGCTCACGCGGTAGCGCGCTCGCCTGGCATGCGTGCGGCCCGGGTTCGATCCTCAGCACCACATACAAAGATGTTGTGTCCGCCGATAACTAAAAAATAAATATTAAAAAAAAAAAAATTTATTGGGGGATGTGGCTCAGTGGTAGAGCACTTTCCTGGGTTCAATCTCTAGCACCAAAAAACCAAAACAATAGAAACAACAACAGAAATGCCTTATCACCTTACTGAAGTATTTTTGAGCTATGAACTATAAAATATTAGTTATTAGTAATGACTGAATTGATATTTTAAAAAGTCTCAAGCTGGGCATGGTGGTAAATGCTTGTAATCCCAGCTACTTGGGAGGCCAAGGCAGGAGGATGACAAGTTCAAGGCCAGCCTGAGAAACTTAGCAGGACCATGCCTCAAAAATAAATAAATAAAAAAGGGTGGAAGGTGTAGCTCAATGGTAACCCCTGGTTTCAGTCCTCAGCATCCCACCCTCACACACACAAACACACACACAAGTCTCATCTTAGGTACCAAGTCTGCATTCTGAAATTTCTCCTTTTTAGTGCTTATTAAGGTAACTAACTACTATTGATGGGTTTTATTTTTACCTCTAGAATTAGTAGTCTTTAAAAAAAAAAAAACTTTTCTTTTTACATAATTGATAGTATTTTGTATAATTTCTACCTTTTCACTTTATATACTAGAAGTCCAGTTCTTTATGTTTTTTGGTTTTTGTGGTGCTGGGATTGAACCCAGTGCTTTGTACATGCTAGGCAAGTGTTCTACCCACTAGACTGTATCCTCAGCCCATTAACCCAATTCCCCCCCCCTCCTTTGGTGGTGCTGGGGATTGAATCCAGGGCCTTATGCATGCTAGGCAAGCACTCTACCCGCTGAGCTATATCTCAGCCCCTCTTTGTTTTCTTGTACCTAAATTGTTAAGATAATTTGTTCAATTTTTAGTAACCTTTCTTTTTCTCTTGATGTTTATTATTCACCTAGGATAACTGTTAATAGAAAAGTAGTTCAGACTATTACTGTAGTAACAGCTAATTTTTAAAGAATCTTATATCAGCTGGATTTTTAAAATTCAACATAGTGCCATATAAAAAATTTTTTTATTTTTATTTTTTGTTATTTCCCAATAAGTTTTCTGGACAAAATGTTTAGGAATATCTTAAAATGAGAAAGAAATCATTTTAGTAATGATATTATAGTGCACTACCTAATTTATCTGAAGGTTTTTTTTGTTACATTTTACATTTGTACAGAAAGTTAAAATAGTAATTGGGTATTTGGAATCTGAACATTTTAAGTGTATTTTGGTAACACTGTTATTTGGATTTGAATGGCACAAGGATAGGAACCACCTGTTCAGGGTGTTACTGAAATCTGTTTCTTTCGTTTTTAGAGGCTTCGTGACGGAGTGATCAGAGATATTGAGAGGCAAAATCGGAAAAAAGAAAACATTCGTCTTTTGGGAGAACAGATTATTTTGACTGAACAACTTGAAGCAGAAAGAGAGAAGATGTTATTGGAAAAAGGATCTCAAAAAACATGACTTCAAAGGAATGTGAAATAGCACTGAAACCGTGTGTGTTATGTATGTGTGTTGATAGAGAATAGCTTAGTGAGATCTTCACCCTTCTTGTGACAGTCCTTTTAAATTTGGTAAAGGACAGTAGATCCTATACTCTAAATGACTTTAAGAATCCCCTATGTTTGAGCAAAGAAGTTGTGGGCAGACACTCTGAAGAGTTTCTACCTGTGTGATTCTGATAGAAGCCTCTTTAAGTTCAGCATCCAGAGTTAGAACTGTTACTGAAGAGCACTTCTGAACTTGTGAAAAGGGAGGGATGGATAGTAACATCCACCTCAGTAGTTTGATAAGTCGACACGATGATGAAGCCACAAGAACATCTACCTCAGAAGGGCTGGAAGAGGGTGAAGTGGAGGGAGAGACTCTCTTGATTGTTGAATCTGAGGATCAGGCATCTGTGGACTTATCTCATGACCAGAGTGGGGATTCCCTCAACAGTGATGAAGGAGATGTGTCGTGGATGGAGGAGCAGCTGTCCTACTTCTGTGACAAGTGCCAAAAATGGATACCGGCCAGTAAGGAGCTTCTCAATTCCTTTATTTGTCAATTCCTGTGTGAAGGTTTATTTTTCCAACCTGTGAAAGAAACATGAATGTAAAATAGATCTAAATAAAAGGATAATTATTACATTCATTAACTTAGATGATCAAATACAAATTTATATAACACATAGACACATTTGTACTAATAAAAATTGTTGCCAACCACTATTCCATTGTTAAATTAATATTCTTGATGGTGACCCAATAAAAATTAGAAAATTAGAAATCCTGTGTTACTGAAGGAATTAAACCACATTTTTCTAACAAGATTATGTTATGGACTGGGGTCCAGATTCTAGCCTGAGTGTAGAATTAAAAGTTCAAGTTCAAAACCATTACTGTGGTATATTTAACTTATGTGGAAAACTATCATCTGTCACTTTAACTTACAGTTAAAGTGAGGTTAGAATTAGTAGTTTGAAGGTATTTAATGGCCTTTCCTAGGACCAGTCTTGTTTCCCACTTGCAGTTCTCTTTATCTGCTGACAAGAGTTATGCACACACATCTTGTTTTTAGCTACCAGCTTCTTAACTCCTGAGCTTGCTTTGCTAGCCATCATATAATTTGCACTAAAACAGGATTTTCCATCAGGCAAGAAACTAGAAAAGACGTGTGCTAAAGAAATGCTTTGTGTAACGGAATTCATAACTAAGTGAAATTTATATATTATACATACATTTATATACATATTATATATATGTGTATTATATATATTTATGTATAGTGAAGTGACTAATTTTCTGGTATGTGGCTGTGTTTATGAATGAGTTCAACTTTTCAAATGAATAATTACTATTAATAAGTTTTTTAGCTGGCTTTTGTGGTCTTGTTTATTAGTGCAGGGTTTTGTCCTGAATATCTTGGTGGCTGTTTGTCCTTAGAGGATAAATTTTAAACACCCTGTGGTCAGACCCCTGCTAATTTCTTCAGCCTCTTCTATCCTTCACATTAACAGAACTTTATTGGTAGGATGAACTTTTCATTTTCCACAAACAATTCTTTCTTATCCCTGGGACTTTGCACATTTTTATTTCCTTTCTGGAATATGTATCTCAAGGGTACATATGGCCCCCAACCCCACCACCAATTTCTAGTCTTCCCTCAGGTGCCTGTAGACCTCTCTTCCCAACTTAATCTTGTCTCCCTTTTATGTGCTCTCAACTGCCCTATGGTGCATATCATGTTCCACTCCTGTGATTTTCAAGTCCCACAAAGCATTAGCATCATCACCTAGGGAACCTTAATGCAGAGGCCTAGGCTCTACCTCAGAGACTGATTCTTTTCATCTGGAGAGACCTAGACATAGTTAGAAAAACAGCAGCTCCTTGAGTGGTTCTGATGCACCATAAGAGGGGAAAAGTTCCATGCAGCTAGTACCTATTGCCTATTTTCTCCTTTGCTGCCCTCCCTGACTTCTAGACCAGTGAGAGCAGGCACTATGCCTTTGTCTTGGTTATTGTATACCCAATGGTTCCTAGCTCAGTGCCTGGCAGATTGTGGGAGATCAAACGTTTTTTGAAAGAATGCTAAAGGGACCCGCCTAGAAGAGTCCAGGTATGTAACGATTGGAAAATCCAGTTAGAGCAATCATACCTGCTTTTCCAGTACCTTTCTCCTAAAAGTTAAGGATCCACAGATCCTTGTAGGGGTGTATATCTGATGTTAGAAGAATAAAACTCCTCTCCCTTTCCCAGGCCCATCCTGCTATTGTGGGTTGGCTGATAAACTCAGCATACTTAGAAATCTGGTTGACAAACTGATTAAACCTTTGGGTTGCCTGTGCTCTAGATAAACCTGTGATGTGACTTTTTTTTTCCCTCCCTAGGTCAGCTGAGGGAACAGCTCAGTTATCTTAAGGGTGATAATTTTTTTAGGTTTACTTGTTCTGATTGCTCGGCAGATGGCAAGGAGCAGTATGAGAGGCTGAAGCTGACATGGCAACAAGTGAGTAAAAAGCTCTTCTCTAGAATGTCATTTTGGGTCCTCCAGGAAATTTGTTGGAATGAGTATTCAGAGCAAGGAAACTACCAATGAGCTTTTGTTGTGTTTTAAGAGATACCATTCATTTCACGATGAAAATTGGATATGGAGTGTGTGGACAGAGGAATTCTTGGTAAAAATAATACTTGATGTTAACTTAGTAAATTGGGTTTAAAATTCTTGAAAATGTCATGTAATTTTATGTATATCTAACACTAAGCTCTGATTTTAATTGAAAGTATGGTTTACATTTTTTCTATTAGCAATTTTTAGAACAGCAAAATCCATAGGATGGTTACATTGGAAATAGATTTGGAAGAAGTAATATAACTAGATTGTAAATACCAGTGTAACCCAGCCTTTCTACATTTGAGCTCAGATGTTTATTTTTTTGTTGATGAATATTTAATATCTACTTTTAACCATCTCCAATACCAGCACTCTAATCCAAGCCACCTATGACCTGAGCAATAGATTTTTTTTTTCAATTTTTTGTAGTTGTCGATGGGCAGAATGCCTTTTTTTTTTTTTTAATTTATTTTTATATGGTGCTGAGGATCAAACCCAGTGCCTCACACATGCTAGGCAAGCACTCTGACACTGAGCTATAGCCCCACCCTTGAGCAATAGCTTTTTTATTTATTTATTTTAGTTATAAGTGAACACAACACCTTTATTTCATTTTTATATGGTGCTGAGGATCGAACCCAGGGCCTCATGCATGCTAAGGGAATGCTCTACCTCTGAGCCACAACCCCAGCCCAAGCAATAGCTTTTTACTGATCTCTGACTTGTGCCCAAGCAATAGCTTTTTACTGATCTCTGACTTGTATTAATTTTTTTAGTTTTGTTTTTGTATTAATATTTATATATAATAAGCTACCAAGGTGTAAATAGTCTTTAAGTTGAAAAAAACAAATGAATTGCTCAGTTTTTGTGTACATCCATTTGTGTGTGTGTGTGTGCGTGTGTGTATTTTGTTTTGTTTTTTTTGGTGCTGGGGATCAAACCTGGGCCTTGCCTATGCTAGGTTAAGTGCTCTATTGCTGAGATACATACCCAGCCCTCAGTTTTGATGTGTATTTAACAAATACTCACTCCTCAGTCCCTGTAGTGAACCAAATACTTTTCTATTCTAGATCTTCGTTTACTGTGGTAAATGAGACCACAAAGGCCACTGTCCTCAGGCGGCTGACATTCAACATTTACTTTAGATAATAAACAGATAAACATGATAATTACCCATAGCACTTACCACTTTGAAGAAAATAAACAGAATGATGAGAAGGATTTTAGATTATACCATTTTGGCCTTTATGGTGTTCCTTGTAAATTGTTGCCATAGCAGCCTGAGACTATTATCTTAATTACTAGTACTTTATTAGACTATCTCATGAAATCTGTCACTGGTGAATTTAGAAAACCTTTTTTGACTTGCCAAAAAAAAAATTTATATATATGTGTGTGTGTGTGTGTGTGTGTGTGTGTGTATGGAAATAAGGGAAGTTTGAATTGAGGATATAATCACATGAATATTATTGGGATAGTTTTCTCAACGTATACATGGGATAATATATATAGGCAAATCATGTTAATATTAATTGAGCAGATTTATATTTGGCTGACAAGTGGATTCTCATAAAAGCAGTAAATGGAAAAGCAGCAAAATATTTGCTGTAATTTGTCATTTTTAAGAATGGGTTTCTGGGGGCTGGGGATGTGGCTCAAGTGGTAGCGTGCATGCGTGCGGCCCGGGTTCGATCCTTAGCACCACATACAAACAAAGATGTTGTGTCCGCTGAAAACTAAAAAAAAAATTAAATATTAAAAAAAAATCTCTCTCCTCTCTCTCTCTCTCTCTTTAAAAAAAAAAAGAATGGGTTTCTGTGGAGGTTGTTTTTAAAAGAAAAGCTAGCTTTTTTATTATATTGCTCAGAATATACAATATTGGCTCAATTTGCATATTTAATCAGCATCACTTGAAAAATATTTTTTCACTTCCAGAAGACTATCAACCGTGAATAATACCCTGGTAGGATGAAGTGACAACTTAGGTCACACACATGGTTCTCAGCAAACTACTGACCAGTATTTCTAGTTACATCTGAAAAAGCCCATAGTTCATCAAAAGTCTGAAAGAATCAGTTGGTCTTAAATAATTCCATTGATGTCTCCAAATACTTAGGATATTGGAATGTGGACTTTCTCTTTTTTAAGTCTTAAACTCTGACTTATCAAAGTAATAAGTAGGCTAGGTATGGTGGTACATGCCTGTAATTCCAGCTTCTTGGCAAATTGAGGCAGGAAGATCATAAGTTAGAGATCAGCCTGGGCAACTTAGCAAGACCTGTCTCAAAATGGAAAAATAAAAGATTGAGGATGTAGCCCAGTAGTAGAGCACCCCTGAGTTCAGTCTGCAGTACTGGGGGGAAAGAAAAGTAATAAGTAGAAATGCTTTTAACAAACAGCATTTCATTTGTATTACAAAATACCAATAGTGAAGAGTCTGGTTTCTGAACCAAAAGGCCCCTTCCTTCTAAACCTCTTCCTCCTTGGTGACTCTTGAGAACAAGTTTGATATATAGAAGAAAATTTATCAAACATTTAAGAGGGAGGGGGCATTTTTGCATTCATGTACTAGAGACTCATGGCACAGGTGAAAATATCATGATCTCTGCTTATTTTTTATCTGATTGTTTTTCAACAGATAGTTCCTGTGGCATTGCCAATCCTGAGCTAGGCCTTGGGGATACATTGATCCACAAGGCTGGCTTCATTACTGATGAGCTTAGTCTGGTACTGTGAGATTAGAAAACTCAACTGGATTCATTCTTTCAGATCACAAATGCCAGAAGAGGTGGAAAAACAGGTTCTTTATGTATTAGAATATAGTTTGTCCAGTAAATAATAAGTGATGATACTGAAAAATTATTTTCAAGTAGGTATGTGAACTTTAACTTGTAAGTCATTAAATATCTCAGGCATAAAGGAAAGTACTGGAAATATAATAACAGATACATACCTATGTTTGAGATTGAGTGAATGCATGTTTCTGAATACTCTTGTATCTGAGAGTGGGAAAAGCTCATTCTGTAATCAAAGTATTTATTGAACAGCATCCATCTCTAGAACTTTTATCTTCTCTCTGTGGGCATTAACTGTTAAGGAAGTAATTTGTAGGGGCTGATGTGGATCAAATGCAAAATTAAGAGAAAGACTTTTTTTTTTTTTTTTTTTTTTTAGAGGAAGACTTATAAAATCTGGTAATGGGGTGAGTTGTATAGTACACTCTCTGCAAGTGTTGTGTGTTTAAGGATGGCAGAAATTGAAACTCAGTGAGGTATCAGAATTTCTGAGCCTATCTGGTGTAGACATATCTCTTCTCATAGAATTATTAGGGATTTAACGCTCTGAATAAGATGCTGGGGCCACTAATTGCAGTTTTCCAGACTTCTAAAAGCTGAAGACTTCTCCTTATAGAAAAAGTGTTATTTAAAAATCTTTTCTAGATTCTGTGTCCTCTTTTCTGTTTCTTTGGCCCAAAATAAGTTATGATTTTTATTAGGTGGAAAACATGGTTTTGAATAGCTTCTACAGTTTTGTCCACTTACATAAAATTAAATATATAAAACATCTACATAAATGTGAGTGCAAAGAAATGTGTTTGGGCAGCCAGTGATTGATTGAACCCCAGGCCTTCCCCATACCAGGCATGTGCTTTACCACTAAACTACACCCTATCCCCTAAAAGTGGTTCTTTCTTTTTTGTGGGGCTGGGGGGATACCAGGGTTTGAACCTAGGCACACTCAGCCACTAAGCTGAATGTGTGTGTGTATTTTGTTTTTTGTGTTTAATTTTTTCTATTTTATTTAGAGACAGAGTCTCACTAAGTTGCTTAGTGCCTCTCAGTTGCTGAGGCTTGGCTTTGAACCCGTGATCCTCCTGTCTCAACCTCCCAAGCCGCTGGGATTACAGGCATGTACCACTGCATGTAGCAAAAGTGGTTATTTCTTTTCTTTTCTTTTCTTTTTTTTTTTTTTTGGTGCTGGGGATTGGACCCAGGGCCTTGTGCATGCGAGGCAAGCACTCTACCAACTGAGTTATACCCCAGCCCAGTAATTTCTTGATGGTGGATTTCAGTGATTTTTACTTTTTTCTTTTCTCTTTTCTGTATTATTAAAATATTTTACAATGAGCATGTGTTATTGATATTCCTGGAATAAACTCTCTGTCCAGGGCCATGAATCCTTGTCTAAAAATAATTAGATTAGGAGTTTGCACACTGAGCTTTGGGGTGACTTGGAGCCCACTGTGTATGGGTTGAGCAGCCAGGCCTTTTTAGTTCTCTGCCTCTTGTGTGGTGATGATTACATTTGAAGAAAGGTTTCCATAGCTTACAAATGGCTAAATCACTGAGTATATAACCTCTAAGATCATTTTCAGCTCTGAAATTCTGATTGTTTTGTTTTTGCCCTATAAAGAGCTTTGAAAAATATATATGCAGGGGTGATTTTCAAAATATTTTGTAAAGGGTGGCACCATTTAGTCAAAAAATGCTGACTGTGTAGGCATACAGTTGTCCAGTAGTTAACCCTTCATTTAGGGCTGTATTTCATAGAGGGTGGGGTGCTTGCGACAGTGCCTGTTCATCAACCCTCTGAGGTAACTTAGCTTAGCCACGCATCTGCCCTACCTGTGTTACGCTGCACGTGATATCTTACAAAAGCAAAAAAGAAAGCAAATAATTCACCCAGAATATGTCAAAGTATCATCCTTCCCTTATTCCACCATTCCTTACCATTCCTACTCAGAATTTAAACAATGCTTTAACCCCCTTCAAGATTAACATCCCTAATCATGCCTATCTCAGGACTCCTGTTTTATTTGTGTTTCAGGTTGTCATGTTGGCAATGTACAACTTGTCTCTGGAAGGAAGTGGACGGCAAGGTTATTTCAGGTGGAAAGAAGATATTTGCTCTTTTATTGAGAAACATTGGACTTTTTTACTAGGGAATAGGTAATGTGGTTTTTAAAATCTTATGCTTGAAGGATATAAAAAACAAATATATATGATTTGACTCAGCCTAACATAGCCCTGTTATTAGAGATTCACAGGATTTGTTTGTGGAAATCATAAAGAATTTTTGAATTCCAGATTTTTTGTTGTTGTTGTTGACTTTTTTTAAAAGCCCTTTTTTAAAATTAAAAAAAATTTTTTTTAGTTGTAGTTGGACACAGTGCTTTAATTTAATTATTTTTATGTGGTGCTGAGGATTGAATCCAGCACCTCACATATACTAGGTGAGCACTCTACCGCTGAGCCACAACCCCAGCTCCTGTTGTTTACTTTTTTAAGTTAGAAAGATTTGTTTATGAAAAATCAGAGTAGAATTATATGCTATAAAATTGTAGGTTTCCATAGTTCTCTCATTCTACTGCAGAGGAAAGTGTTGGTTTCTACCAACTATGATATTTTTTTAAGTAATTCTTTGTTAAAAAAAAAAATTGAGAGTTTTACTAAATGGGGGATGTTCAAGTGGTGGAGAAATAAGTGGGATTATTATGTCCTTTTAAAATCAATGACTTACAGGTCAGAAGAAAAAAAAGATAATGGTAGTTATTTATATTGCTCTTAATTAATTGAGGTATTATTAGAATTTGTTTTTATTAACTTGGAAAGGTAAATACTTTTGTATACTACTTGATATTTGTAGTGCTTAGCAAAGTCTTGAGTGCATTAACATGTAAATGGTTTACTCATTAATTACTCTTTTTATAATTTTGCTTTAATTTTTGCTGGAGAGTGTTCCTCCTTTGGGTCATTACACATAAGGATCAGTATCTGTCTTAGGATGCACAGGCACTGAGACTATTTGTTAAAGATCTGTGCCAATTTAACAAGAATTTTATTGCTATTAGGTGAATTTTGTTTAAGATTCTGATTGTGTCTGAAGTCCTGTATAAGATTCATAAATCTTGCATAATTACTGGGTTTGGTGGCACATAACTATAATCCTAGCAACTCAGGAAGCTGAGGCAGGAGGATTGCATGTCCAAAGCCAGCCTCAAAAGCAATTTAGTGAGGCCTTAAGCAACTTAGCAAGACCTTATCTCAAAAAATAAAAAGGGCTGGGAATGTGCTCGGTGGTAAAGCACCCCTGTATTCAATGCCCAGAATCCCTGTCCCCCCCCCCCAAAAAAAAAAAACCAAAAACTTACATTCTTACATAGTTAGGTCAGTGTAGACACAACAGAGCTTCTCATAACTTCAGGTCAAAGTTGGGAATTGTATCTGTCCTCACTGGACTCACCACAGCCTCTGTTAACCTTCAGTTCTGAGAAATCAGTTTGCTCAGGTTGCAGAGAAGAAGGGAAGGCAGTGGAAAGGAGGGGCATCCTCTAAAGATTTGCTGTGAAGAAAAAAACAAAATAGACTCAGAACATTTTACAAAATGGGATTATTTTAGTTATTGAGTTATTTAGTGCTGAGAGAAGAACTGACACTATGATTAGCTCTTTCTCATAAGGAAAGGACTTCTGTTGTCTTGGTTTAATGCTTTAGCGCTATTTATGGAACTTAATATACCCCATTTATAAGGGACAAAAAAGAGAAAAAACTGGTAAAATTAGATCTTGGAATTTTTTCATGATCTCTGAGTGCTGTTTTATTTAGTGGATTATTTTCTGGAAGAAATTGGATTTAAATAGCCTGCTCTTAAGAATATTGTTGTATTTTAATAGAAGTTGCTCAGTTTCATTTGTTCATTTCTAGAATATGTTCTGAGAGGAATCAGCTAAAGCTTTTTTCTTTTTAACCTTCTAGTGAAACGCATTCATTGCTTTCCAGCTTCTATGTAGCTTAACTATTAAACTAGAGGTATTTTGCTATATTGGCATATCACTTGAATTATTATTTACTTAATATTTCTATTTAATAGAAATATTAAGTAAATAATAATTACTTAATTATTAGTCACTGATCTGGGCATGGTGGCAAACGTCCCTAATTCTGGCATCTCCAGAGACTGAGGCAGGAGGATCACAAGTTCAAAGCCAGCCTCAGCAATTTGGCAAGGCCATAAGCAATTTAGCAAGATCCTTTCTCTAAATAAAAAATGAAAAGGGCTGGGAACATGACTCAGTGTAAGTGCCCCTGGGTTCAATCCCTGATACCAACAAACAAACAAACACCCCCCCCCCAAAAAAAAAAAAAAAAAAAACTATACAAGAGCTTAATTAATTAAGGTTAATTGCCATTGTGCGTATGATTATTTAATCTACTTTTACAATCCTGTTTTGAATTCTTGTAGAAGGTATAGTTTTGATTACTGAAGAATATTTTGAATACTTTCTTCTATTATCATATTTCATTGACTTTAAGATGCACAATTTTCACATTTTGACATTTCTGATAGTTGGATACATCTTACAGTTGATGATATGTCATAATTTAAATTGGTAGCCAACTCTTTCATATTTGTACTTAAAATGGTGTATCTTAAAGTCAATGAATGTTAGATTTGATGGAATGTGATAGAGTGCATTCATATGAATTACAATTCAAAAAACTGAGGTGGGTCCAGGGAAAGCAGTATAGGAAGCACTAGAAATTTGTCTCCCCACCTAGACAACAGTAGCATTGATAGAAATCTGTTTCTGAGAACTATTTTGGAACTCTGGAGTCTAATGAAGTCTTACAACTTCTAGGAGAAGGCTTGGACAATAAATTGTGATTTATTATGGTCAGTTTAATTATTGACAATAGCAACTACTCATCCACCACCTCCAGCCCTCAGATAGGGAGCTATATGCTTGTGTTTTTTGTTTGTTTGTTTTTGTTTTTGTTTTTGTTTTTGTACTGGGAATTGAAACCTAGGGAACTTTACCACTCAGGTATAGCCCCAGCCCTTTTTATTTTGAGCAGGATCTCATTAAGTTACTCAGGCTGCCCTTGAACTTGAGATCCTTCTGCCTCAGCATCCCCTGTCACTGGGATTATAGTATATATTCAAAGAAATTGAAAGCAGGGCCTGAAAGCTGTGTTCACACCCATGTTCATAGCAGCATTATTCACAGTAGCTAAAATTTGGAAGCAATGCAAGTGTCTATCAACAAATGAATGAATAAGCAAAATGGAGTATATACATACAATGAAATATTATTCACTTATTTATTTATGTATTTATGTGGTGTTGGGATTGAAGCAAGGACCTTGTGCATGTGAGGCAAGCACTCTATCAACTGAATTATATCCCCAGCCCTATTTATTTATTTTTCAGTTTGATACACAGTCTTGCCAAATTGCATAGAGCTTCACTAAATTGATGAGGCTGGCTTATAACCTATGATCCTCCTGCCTCAGCCTCTGGAGTAGCTGGGATTATAAGCCTAATACCACTGCATCCAGCATTATTCAGGTCTTAAAAAAGAAGGGAATTCTGGCACATACTGTAACATAGATAAGCTCTGAGGATATAATGCTAAATAAAATAAGCCAGTCACAAGAATACTGTATGTCTTTATTTCCATGAGGTATGTAGAATAATGAAAGTCATAAATAAAGTAAATAGAACAATGGTTGTCAGGGTCTAGGGAGGAGGGCAGAGGGCATAATTGGGAGTTATGTGTTTAAGGGATATAGGATTTGTTTTGCATTATAAAAAGAATTTTGAAGCTGGATGGGGGTGATGATTATAGAGGATGAATCTTCTATAATCAAGGTGTTGTAAGCTTGGTTCCTTTTTTTTTTGGTATCAGGGATTGAATTTAGGGGAGTTTAACCACTGAGCCACACACCCCAGCTTATTTGATATTTTATTTAGAGATAGAGTCTCACTGAGTTACTTAGGCCCTTGCTGAGTTGCTAAGACTGACTTTGAACTCAGGATCCTCCTGCCTCAGCCTCCTGAGCCATGGGTTAGTTCCTTTTGAGGGCTGTGAGAAACGGTCTATTCCAGGCCTCTTTCTCAGCTTTGTTAGTCTCAGATAATCCTTGGTTTGCAGATAGATGGCTTTCTCCATGTGTCTTCACATTGTCTCTCCTCTGTACACATTTGTCTCTATGTCCAAATTTTATTGGATAGTATCCAACTTAATGACCTCATTTTAACTTGATCCTCCTACAAAGATGCTGTTTTCTCATTCACATGTCCTAGGGGTTAGGACTTCAGCATCTTTTTGTGGTGGGGAGGTAATAATTCAATCTGTGACAGTGATCATTAACTTTATGAACACTTAAGTTATTCCAGCTTTCCCCCATTTAAATCAAACTTGTAAAGAATTTTCTTATGTATACATGCTCTGTAGTTTTGAGATTAGAAAATTTCTGAGGTCAGAGGATACACATATTTTGGATACAAATTATGAAAGTAACCTCTAGAAAGTATATACCAATTATATTCCCACTAAATGCATCATTGCTCACTTCCCAAACTCCCATCAACAACACATTAGTTTTTAAAATATTTTGAATTTTGTCAGCTTTTTGTTTATTTATTGTGATTTTTAAAAAAAAATCTAAATTTACATCTCTTAGCTTTTTTTTTGGTACTGGGGATTGAACCCAGGGGTTTAATCTTATACCTATCATTAAACATTTACCACTGAGCCACATTTCCAGTTCTTTTTATTTTTTATTTTAAGACAGAATCTCCCTGAGTTGCTTAAGGTCTTGCTAAGTTGCTGAGGCTGGCCTCAAACTCGTGATCTTCCTGTCTCAGCCTCCTGATCTTCCTGCCTCAGCCTCCTGAGTCACTGTGATTACAGGTGGACACACCACACCCAGTCCATCTTAGCCATTATTAAGTGTTGCAGTTATGTGATACTAAGAATATTCACATTATTATGCAACAGATCTACATAATTCTTTCTTCTTGCAAATCTGAAACACTGTACTAATTAAACAACTGTCCTTTCTCCCCTCTTCTTAGCCTCTGATAATCATCATTCTACTTTCTGTGAATCTGACTCTTCTAGATAGTGGACTCCTATAGTATTTATCTTTTCATGACTAGCTTTATTTCACTTAGTATAATGTCCATGTTACAGTCTGTAGTAGGATTTCCTTCCTTTTTAGGACACTGTGTGTGTGTGTGTGTGTGTGTACATGCAACTTTTTATTATTATTATTATTTTTTTTTTATTGGGAATTAGACCGTGGGATAGTTGGTTCACCCTTTACCACTGAGTTACATCCCCAGCCATTTTTATTTTTTATTTTGACATGGTCTTGTTAAGTTGCTCAAAGTTCCTCAACCTCCAGGGTTGCTGGGAATACAGGTGTGTGCCACCACACCCAGCTACATACAACATTTTGTTTTTTCATCCATCCCTATTTGGATATTTGGGTTGCCTCTATCTTTGTTGATCTTTTTTGAGAAGCTGAAAAGAATCATTTCTCTTTCTAATCTTACTTTGTCATTCCAACATTCCCAACCTCCTATTATCTGTTGGGCAAAGTGAGGTTTGGGGACCCATGAGGCTTATACCATCCACTCTTATTTGTTATTCAATAAAAAAGGTACATGTAGGGCTGGGGATGTGGCTCAAGCGGTAGCACGCTCGCCTGGCATGCGTGCGGCCTGGGTTCGATCCTCAGCACCACATACCAACAAAGGTATTGTGTTTGCCGAGAACTAAAAAATAAATATTAAAAAAAAAAAAAGTACATATAGTAGAATGGATTTTAAGCTTTTTGGTCTCAGGATCCTTTTATACCCAAACATTATTGAGGATCTCAAATAGTTTTTGTTTATGTTGATTATTGCTATTGATATTTTCTGTTTTAGACATTGAAGCAGAAAATCTTAAAATATTTATTAGCCTGACACAGTGGTTCAGGCCTGTAATCCCAGCAATTTGGGAGGCTGAGGCAGGAGGATCACAAGTTCCAAGCTAGGCTCAGCAACTTGTTGAAACACACCTTGAAATAAAAAGGGCTGGAGATGTAGTCCAATGGTAAAATGGCTCTGGATTCAATCCTCATTACCCCCCAAATTTTTATAATTAATTTATTTATAAAGAATAATAACTAACAGATTTCTTGTTAACATAATATTTTTGTAAAAAATATTTTCCAAAACAAAAATAATAGCAAGAAAGGTCACATTGTTTCCTTTATTTACTGATCTCTTCAATGTACGGCTTGTAGAAGATGTATTTCAATATCAAGCTATAAAATTGCTGGAAAACTACTACACACTTAGTGTGAAAAAGGCAAACAGCATCTTATTTTTGTTATGAAAATAATTTTTATCTCATGTATTCCTGACAGGCTTCAGCCCCAGGGGTCTCAGGACCTCATTCTGAGAATTGCTGGTACAGCCAAGCTAAGCTGGTGTCAGCCATTTTGGAAGGCATGATATTTCACTTCTTTTTCTTGAAACCATGATGGTCAAATTAGAAAAACCTTCCTTTGAAAGAGTGAATTTTTTTTTTTTTTGTACCAGGGATTAAACCCAGAGGTGCTTAACCACCAAGTTACATCCCTAATCCTTTTTATATTTTATTTTAAGATAGGGCCTCACTAAGTTGCTTCAGGCCCTACTAAGATGCTGAGACTGGCTTTAAACTTGCAATCCTCCTACCTCAGTCTCCTGAGATGCTGGGATTACAAGTATATACTATTATGCCTGGCAAAAGAATGATTTTCAAGTGATGGGTGAGGTAAGAAAACAAATAGAGTGGTTTCTACTCTAGTTTTATTCCTTGGGTGAGACAGAGGATTTTGGAAAATTTAGAAAAAAGTAGGTAGTAGGAGAGGTTCCCTGCGACCAAGGGCTAAGGTTGGAAACCAAGTTGTTATTCTTCCCATTTTAGCTTTCCATTACTGTAAGGGTATATCTGACATAAGATATTTATGAAATAAAGAGATTTATTTTAGCTCAAGGTTCTTATAGGTTCAAGCCAAGATTGTATGTATGGCCCCTTTGGTTTAGGCCACTGGTTAGAGCAGGTGGTCACATCTCAAGCCAGGTACAGAGAGAGAAAGAGAAGAGAGAGACTAGAGTCTTATAGTCCTCTTTGAGGGTACACCACCAGTGACCTAAGACCCACCTCTTAAATGTCCACAGTACCTTCCATTACCACTGTGTCAGGGATCGAGCTTTTACATATGGACCTTTGGGGGACACTCAGCCAAACTGAAAAACACTGAAGAAGTGTTTTTTTTTGTTGTTGTTGGTTTTTTTTAGAATTTCTTGTTCACTTACATTTTCAAGATGGAAATAAAATAGTTGCCTTTAAAATAATTTTCAACAGGAACTTTTTTTTTTTTAAAGAGAGAATTTTTTAATATTTATTTTTTTTTAGTTCTCGGCAGACACAACATCTTTGTTTGAATGTGGTGCTGAGGATCGAACCTGGGCCGCACGCATGCCAGGCGAGCGCGCTGCCACTTGAGCCGCATCCCCAGCCCTCAACAGGAACTTTAATAGTTGATTTTTTTTTTTTTTCTAAGTCATATAGGCTCTCTGTATTTGTGGAACATACCATGTAATTTTATTACCATTTTAGTATATCAGAGCAAACTGCAGCAGGCTGAGAGATGCTGAGAGATGCATCTATCTCCCTGGTAAAGTGAGCCATTTACCAGGACTTATCATAACTACCCAGTCTTGGATTTATGCTTCTTGTGTGCTTTATTTCTTGAGAGCTGTGCTCAATTCACATGTAAAAGCAACTTAATTAAAGCTTACAGAACTCTATAGCTTAATGAGTATGATGAGAACTGTTTTATGTGCTTTGTTTGAGTTCTTTCATTCAATCCTCTTAGCAACTGGTGGAGTAAATTCTATATTCTGATTTCACAGATTAGGAAACTGAGACAGTGGAAAGATGATAGAGCCAGGATTTGAAGCTAGTTAGATTCCAGAGCTTCTCTCTTGACTCGTATGTTCTGTTCCTTCAACAATAGGGGGGATCCATAGCATGTCATAGTCTAGAAGTCAAAGAGAATATATGTAGAGTGTATTTGCTATATGATGATCGACTTAAAGTGCTAATGGTTTGTAAATTCTTGGGAATTTACAAATTTTTTCCTCTTTAGGAAAAAGACTTCAACATGGTGGAGCACAGTAGCAGGTTGCCTCAGTGTGGGAAGTCCTATGTACTTTCGTTCAGGTGCTCAGGAATTTGGAGAGCCTGGATGGTGGAAACTTGTTCATAACAAGCCCCCAACAATGAAACCTGAAGGAGAGAAGTTGTCTGCATCCACTTTGAAAGTAAAAGGTACCGCTGTAAAAGGTGCAATTCAGGCAGAGCAGAGCAAATGTTAGCACAGGAGACAGTCCTGCTTTTATCAGCCATAGCTCATCAGTCTCTCTGGAGCTATTCCACTTGACAATTTTATGATGACACTATTCTTTTATATTGTAAATAAATACTATGTAAAAACAACATTTTATCATTTCTTAATCAAGTTACCAGTCTTATAAATTTCCTCTGATGTCTGAAAGGTTCAATGTTTTTAATCTGATTTCTTTTTAACTTTTTATTATGGAAATTTAAAAGCATACAGAGGTAAAGAAAATACTATAATAAATTCCCATGTGTCTTTCACCTTACTCCAACAATAGTAACTCCATGCCAGGTGCTGGGCTGGAGGATACAAGTTCAAGGACAACCTGGGCATTAACAAGATCTTGACTTAAAATAAATTAAATAACAACAATAACAACAAAAAAAAAAACCCACCAAACCCAAAAAAACAAATGTTGAATGTTTTTTCTGATATAAGGCTACTAATTCATAATGAGGATGAGGGGAGCATGGGAGGAATAGACGAACTTTAGATAGGGCAGAAGGAAGGGAGGGGGCATGGGGGTAGTAAAGACGGTGGAATATAATGGACATCATTACCCTAAATAAATATATGAAGACACTAATGGTGTGACTCTACTTTGTGTATAACCAGAGACATAAAAAAATGTGCTCTATATGGGTAATATGAATTGAATCGCATTCTGCTGTCATATATAAAAATTAGAATTTAAAAAAACATATATATATATATATATATATATATATACACACACACACACACATATATATGTGGTGTGGGTATGTGTGTGTGTGTGTGTGTGTGTGTGGGTGTATATATATATATATATATATATATATATATCAGTAAGAAATAAGGATTCTTTCCTTTTCATAGCCTAACCATAGTGCTGTTTTACATTTTTTAAAAAATTAGTAACTCCTTAGTAGTACCCATTGATCTGATTTTTTTTCCTTGGGCAATACTGGAAATTGAACCCAGGGCCTCATGCATGCTGAGCACATACTCTACCACTAAGTTATATCCCCAGCCCTGCCCCCCTTTTTAAATTAATTTTTATTTTGAGAGAGTGTCTCACTAAATTATATAGACTGTCCTCAAACTTGAGATCCTCTGGCCTCAGCCTCCGAAGTAACTGGGATTACAAACGTGTCAATGTATCAGGCTAGCTTCTGGGTTTTTTTGGTTTTTTTTTAATCCAAAAATTTTTAAATGAGCTTTAACAATTTTCAACATATAATGGTAAAATATCAAATGGTATTGAAGGGTATAAAGTCTGAAAATCTCCCCTCTCCCACTACAGTTTTACTCCCCAGAGTAACCAGGGTTATCTCTCATGAATGCTTTTAGAGATTACCTCTGCATTTTAAGCATTTTTTTTAAAGCCTAAATACACTCTAATACTTATTCCCCATTTCCCCCCAGGACACCTTGGACATCCTTCCATTACAATACATATAGGTTTACCCTATTTTCCTTTATTTCATTGATTCGATTATATGGTTTTATGATTATGTATTAAGCCATTCCCCTGTTGATGGACATTTTGATTGTTCTGCCCGTTGTTATTTAATCAGTGCTTCAATTGCACAAATTTGTATACATGTACAAACTGCAAACAGTTGCTGTATCAAAGGGCATATTCATTAAAAAATATGAACCTCCAGACAACCATCTTAAAACTTATACCCTATTAAAAAGTCATGAAAATGCCTATTTGCTGAGCATTATCAAACTTTTAATGTTTACCCATTTTAATAAGTGAAAGGTAATGTTTGTTTAGATTTACATTCTTTTTTAGAATTTAGATTTAACTTCTTTTTTATTAAGAGGTATCTAATTCTTCTAACTTAAGGCATTCATCAAACATTTCTATATTGAACATGGTTCTAAGTTCACAGTAATACATTACAAAAAGAAATTAACATTGAGTAGTTATTTTAAAATTTGGAGCTGGTATTCCGTACCTGTAATCCCAGTAGCTCTAGAGGCTGAGGCAGGAGGAGTGCAACCAACCTTAGCAACTTAACGAGGCCCTGAGCAACTTAATGAGATCCTATCTCAAAATAAAAAATAAAGCTGGGCATGGTGGCGTATGCTTGTAATCCCAGCAGCCCTGGAGGCTGAGACAGGAGGATTGCGAGTTCAAAGCCAGCCTCAGCAATGGCAAAGCGCTAAGCAACTCAGTGAGATCCTGTCTCTAAATAAAATACAAAATAGGGCTAGAGATGTGGTTCAGTGTTGAGTACCCCTGAGTTCAATCCCCAATAACCGAGAAGAAAAAGAAAAAAAACCTAAATAAATAAGTAAAAAATTTAAAAAGAACTAGGGATGTAGCTTAGAGGTTAAGTACCTCTGGTTTCTATCCCTGGTACCAAAAAAATAAAACAAAATAAAAATAAAAGTTGGATATTTACTTTCTAGCAGCCTCAAAACCAGCATTGGATCCCATCATTACTGTCGAGGGACTTAGAAAACGGGTGAGCCGGAATCCTGTGGAATCTGCCATGGAACTAAAAGAGAAAAGGTCTCGAACTCAGGAAGCCAAAGACATTAGAAGAGCCCAGAAGGAAGCAGCTGGCTTTCTGGACAGAAGCACATCTTCTACTCCTGTGAAATTCATAAACCGAGGCCGCAGGCCAGACGTGATTCTTGAGAAAGGAGAAGTAATTGATTTCTCATCCTTGAGCTCTTCTGACCGCACCCCTCTAACAAGCCCATCTCCTTCTCCCTCTCTGGATTTCTCTGCCCCGGGGACGCCTGCCTCTCATTCTGCCACTCCTAGCTTGCTTTCAGAAGCTGATCTGATTCCAGATGTGATGCCACCGCAAGCCCTGTTTCATGGTAAGACTTAACCTTCCTCAAATTTTTTTTATCTTGGGTGTGGGCCAAGTCCTTTATCTTGGGCGAGAGTTTTCACCTCTTGCCTTCTTCTTTCCTATGTCTTTTCTTTTTTTAAACTTTCCTGGTGCTGGGCATTGAACCCAGGGCCTTGTGCTGAGCTATACTCTTCTTCCCTATGTCTTGATACTACTGTTTTATACTCTGTGTAGATGATGATGAACTGGAAGGCGATGGAGTCATAGACCCAGGGATGGAGTATGTTCCACCCCCATCTGGGTCAGCAGCTTCTGGGCCAGTGATTGGAGGCAGAAAGAAGGTCAGAGCACCTGAACAGATAAAGCAGGAGGTAGAGAGTGAGGAGGAAAAGCCTGACAGGATGGATGTTGACAGTGAAGACACGGATTCAAACACATCTTTGCAAACAAGGGCTCGAGAAAAGAGGAAGCCTGCACTGGAGAAAGACACAAAACCTAAAGGGCCCAAGTACACTCCTGTGAGCATCTATGAGGAAAAACTTCTGCTTAAGAGGCTGGAAGCCTGTCCCAGTGCAGTTGCTATGACACCAGAAGCTCGGAGACTGAAGCGGAAATTGATTGTCAGACAAGCAAAAAGGGATAGGGGATTACCACTTTTTGACTTGGATCAAGTTGTTAATGCTGCTCTTCTGTTAGTTGATGGGATTTATGGAGCCAAAGAAGGAGGAGTTTCCAGGCTTCCAGCCGGACAAGCCACATATCGGACTACCTGTCAGGACTTCAGGATTCTTGACCGATACCAGGTAATGTGAGCATGCACCCTAAAACTGTTAGGGGTTGGGTGGAAGTCCGGCAGGCAGCATCTGGCAGTGGACATGTTACGCTTGACTTTTTTTTTTTTTTGGTAGTGGGGATTGAGCCCAAGGGTGCTTTGAGGCACATCCCAGCCCTTTTAATTTTTATTTTGAGACAGGGTCTCACTAAGTTGCTTGGGGCTGAGTTGCTGAGGGCTGGCCTTGAACTTATGATCCCCTGCCTTGGCCTCCCAAGTTGCTGGGATACAGGCATGTGTCATCATGTTGCTATGCTATGACTTTTAAAATCATGAGTAATTTTAGGAGAGAAAAGAAAAGAATAAGGGAGGAAAATGCAAAAATTGCTTGGCTTTATGTTTCAAAATTATTCAGTACATCTTCATTTTCTTTTCCACTGAGCATTTAAGACATAACCTAGAGGATTTTTTTCCTGTCTCTCTGTCTCTGATGGTAGTTGTACATGCTTCAAGTCATTTTGATTGGCAGATTTGTTGAGGATGTGCAGTGTCCCAGACACTATGCAGAGCAGGACCTGCAGGTGTATAAATATCTGTATAGTTAGGGCAAAACATAAAACAACATGAAATGGTAACTGAGGTATCAGTGTTTGGTCCCCTCTGCTCAGAGACTGTTCAATGGAACCCACGTTCTGTGAGTGCTCCTGGAAACAATTAATTCCACTCAGAACTTCTGGGACTTCCCACTAGCAGGTAGGAAATGTCTTATTTCCCTCTCTCTTTGCTAGCACTAGATACTACCCAGTCTTTTCTATTTCATTTCTTTGGTTACAGGTAAGGTTAAACGTGTTCCCTAGTTGTTTCTTACCCTGTGAATTTTCATTTTTCTGTTTTCTTATTTTTCTCTGGAAGGTAATGGCATGTCTCTTTATTGCTCATGGTCAGATATTACTCAGTGATATACCAAGGATGGGGCTTCTTTCTTTTGTTGTGCTGGTCATTTGACTTGTAAGTCCTTTCGATTTGACATGCCTTCTTCCTGAGTTCTAGAAAGTCTTGATTTCCTGTCTTCTATTTCCTCTGTTCTGTTTTAGGAACTTTCCTATTGTTGCACATTGGACCCTATAGACCAGGGATTGGCAAACTTTCTTTAAAGGCAGTAAATATTGTGGGTCACACAGTCTAGGTCGTATTTATTCAACTCTGCTGCTGTAATGGGAAGCAGCCATAGTAAATGACTATGTCCCAGAGAAACTTATTTAATAAAGTGGGCAATGGCTGGATTTGTCCTGTGGGCTATAGTTTGGCAAGACCCCTACTCATCTTAATTGTCTTTTCTTTTCCCACTTACTTCCCATCTTTTCTTTAAAGTATTAACCTGCCTACCTACAATCCGGGAGCCAGGTGGGGAGTAACCAGGAGCCTACCTACCTTTAAAGCAACCTCCCATGACTCTCCCTGTCTTCCAGACAGGCCTTACTCCTAGCTTGGTTCCCTGTGTCCAGAATTTCTCGAGACTCTGTGGAGGGTCCAGTCTTCTTCCTATGGAGGGAATGATAATTTCCTATGGATGAGCAAACTAAGAGCCTCTCATTCCGTAGTCCCACTGCCTGCCCTCAGCTTTAACAGAGCCTGATCCCTCTAATATCTGTGCTTTCCTGAGGCTGTTGTGTAAATCACTCTGTTCTCTGCCTGTCTTTATTACAACCTAAGGTTTCAGCTTTCTTTAGTCTATTCAGTCATTTTCTGCATATTCGCATGCTTTTGCTTACAGTTATCTGTTCACCTGTTCTTCATTCTTGTGTGTCTGTGTTTTTAATCCATATACTTTATTTTTTTTCTTGATTTGTTCTATACTTTATTTTTTTAACTTTGAAATGTGTCTTAGAGGTTATTTGGGAGACTAAGGCAGGAGGTCAGTTTGAAGTCCAGCCCCAGCAATTTGGCAAAACCCTATTTCAAAGTAAGAAAAAATAAATAAATAAAGGTGGTGAAATGCCCTGGATTCAATCCCCAGCACAAAAGCAAAAACAAACACTGAACAACATGCACAAATCTAACTTCAAAGAAATTGTCACTTTTAGAGAAATGCTGTGAAAGAAGATAATGCAAAACAGTTTTTCTGAATCATAGATTTGGATTAGTTGTGTCTTTCAAAAGGATCTATTGACACCCCCACCTCTGTTACCTGTGAATGAATTGACCTTATTTGGAAATAGGGCTTTTACAGATATAGTCCTATTAAAATGAGGTTATTCTAGAGTAGGGTGGACCCTTAATCCAATTCAACTGATGACTTTATAAGAGACACAGAGATCAGTCACTGGGAGAAGACCACATGAAGACAGGCAGATATTAGCCGTGCCTATGACCCACCAGATCCCAGGGATTGCCAGCAGCACCAGAATCTTAGAGAAAGTTACAGGACAGATTATCTGGTAATACACTCAGAGAGAGCATGGCCCTACCCATACCTTGATTTCTGACTTTTGAGCTCTGAAGCTGAGACAGTTAATTTCCTTTGTTTTAAGGCACCCAGTTTATGATACAGTCAGTTTTTTGTATCCACGGAGAGGGAACCCACAGATTCAACCAATTGTAAATGGAAAAAATTTGGGGAAAAATTAAATCTGTACTGAATATATATATAGATTATTTTCTTATCATTATTACCTAAACAATTTGTATGACATCTTTTTACATAACATTATTTTATGTATAATAAATAATATAGAGGTAATTTTAAGTATGTGGAAGGATGTGCTTAGATTATATGCAAATACCGTGCCATTTTATATAAAAGACTTGAGCATCTGTAGATTTGGGTATTCTCAGGGGATCTGGAAACAACTTCCTGCAGATACTGAGAGACAACTATACTTTGTTCTGGTAGCCCCAAGAAATACAGTTATGTTCTGGCTTCAGTTTCCATGAGCCCTGCCTGGGCAAGTAAGTGATCAGGGTCATTAGGGGTCCTGGGAAACAGAATGCTCACCACAGTTTGAACGTCAGTTAGAGTTGTCGTATATATATCAGGAACCATGGCAGAAATCTGGGCAAAGCCAGGCATGGTGGTATACAACTGTAATCCTAGCAACTCGGGAGGCTGAGGTAGGAGGATCGTGAGTTCAAGGCCAGCCTCAGCAACTTAGTGAGGCCCTGTCTCAAAGTAAAATATAAAAAGGATTGGGGATGTGGCTCAGTGGTTAATAGCCTCTGGGTTCAATCCCCAGTACAAAAAAAAAAAAAAAAGAAAAAAAGAAAGAAAGAAAAAGAAATCTGGACAGAGGGAGTGAGATTCTCTATAGTTCCTGCTAAGGCTGACATGGCTTCTATCTTGTAAGTAAGTCAGTACAACCTGTGTAGTGGGTATCCTTCTCTGATCCAGGGGGCATGTACTGAGAGGGTACAGGAGGCTCAGAGTGCATGGTTTAGAAAAGCTGAGCACAGCTGAGATTATTCTGGGCCACCACTTATTCCTTAGGTTTAAAGGATGGTTGGTGGTAACAGGGACTTAGTGACGACAGCCTCTTGTGTCTGCCCCTGGAGTCACACTTGTCCACTTTGTGCTGGCCACTTTTGTGTGTGAGACTCAGCAGGGGTCCTACTTTTTCCCTTCTCCTGCAGTTCCTTTGCCCATCCTGTGTGTTTGATTTGTTTCCTGTGGCCCTTCTTTACCTGTTGGTTTCCTAAGCAAAGCTGCATAGGAGCTGGGTACAATGGCACACACCCATGATCCCAGTGACTTGAGAGGCTGAGGCAGGAAGATTGCAAGTTCAAGGCCAGACTGGGCAACTTAGTGAGACCTCATCTCAAAATAAAAACAAAAAGGGCTGAGGATATAGTTCAGTGATAAAGTGTCCCTGGGTTCAACCCCAAAAAAACCAACCAAACAACAACAACAACAACAAAAACAGATGCATGGGAGGTAAACTTTGAGATCTGCATGTTTGAAAAAGCCTTAAGTTAAACCAGAATTTCAAGCCAGTGGCAGATGAAGTTGAAAGCCAACCTAATAGCAAACTGGAACCAAGTAGACAACGGGCAATGCTTTCAAATTCTGAGGAAAATGCAATTAAACCTGTGATTCTGTGCACACTCAGAGTCTAGGTGAGTCCTCTGTGGCAGGCCCTAACAACTCTGCTTTTAAGTCTCTCCTCATGAACTGGTCAGAGTTCCCAGGGAAGAGTTTCCAGATTCAGAAACCTGGTTGCCAAGTGAGAGAAGAGGGACCTTCCCACTCACCTTATTGCTATCAGAACCCCTGTTACACCTTGTGTAGAGATGGTACTTCCCAACTGCTGCTAGGAGAGGGCAGCCACCCACAGCAGGGAATTGAGGGATAGGGGATGAGGAATCTTGCCAACCACCTAGGTTTTTAGTTCTGTGGGTTCTACAGCATTGACTGGGCTAGTTCTCACTGTATCCAAAGTCATCTTAGGATTTTGATTAAATCAGTTATTATTTGTCCATTTGCCCCCTAGTTTCTATTGTTTCTTTTCTCCATTTTTCTGTTCTTGTGTGTTTACCACCTCACCCCCCACCATTCTGTTTCTGTAGTTTTAATAGGGGGTGCTTGTAGTTAATCCTCCATCTTAACCTGGACTTTTTCTTTTGGTACTAGGATTTGAACATAGGGGTGCTCTACCGCTGAGCTTCATCCCCAGACCTTTTTATTTTTTATTTTGAGAGAGGGTCTTGCTAAATTGCTCAGGCTGGACTCAAACTTAACCATTCTCCTACTTCAGCCTCCCTAGTCTCTAGGATTACAGGCATGTACCACCATGCCAAGCAGCCTGGACCTTTAGTATGAGTTTAATGCAGTTACACAGGTTGGCAGTTGCACATTCACTTATTCTATTCATAGTCTTCCTTACTTTCTGACAAATGTGTATTCATAGTTATAAATATCCCTATAAGTACTGTTACCTATAATTTATGGCTTTTAAAATGATGTGACTTTATTACCAATCAGTATTTAACATTCTGTAATTTTCTTCATTATTTCCTCTTTGCCCAAGAATTAGTGCC